ATCTGCAAGAGCGCCGCAAGTGGAAAACTGAAAAACTTAACTTGCAACAGGGAGATGTCGTCCTCATGAAAGACCCCCAAGCCAAGAGGAATGAATGGCCAATGGGGTTGATCACCAAGACCTTTCCTAGTGAGGACCAAAGAGTCAGGAAGATCGAAGTAAAGATCATCCATGATGGAGAACAGAGACTGTTCCTGAGACTTGTGACTGAAGTCATTCTTCTTCTTGCTAGAGACTCTAGTTACCAATACTCAGACTGAACATGTTACATTCTCATTTTGTATTTCATGCTGTTTGTTATTATTAGCATGTTCTTTAGATTTGCCATCTTACAGATGCCAGGTGGGGAGTGTTCTGCCCTAGCTCCACTTTGGGCTGCTTAACCACAGTAATTTAGTCTAGCCCCCTCTACCATTAGTTTTCTCTTTGCCGCTCCATGTCATCCACGTTACCTTGATTGTACATTTTACAACTTTTCAACTTTATTTCCAAGCCCTTGTTGGAGCACGATCCTTTTATATCGTTTTCCATTAAACGGCTCCAGTCAAGGCGCCCACTTGGAAAGATGTTTAGGCCTCTGCATATCTGTGTATGCTCATCACAGTGAGGGCAGAAGAGACCGTGTCCATACCAGCCAAGCTCCCGCCTGCCCCCCAGGGGATCAACCTCCGACCTTACCCACTGTGTCGGCTGCTGATTCACCCCCACATTCCAGACCAGAGGGCAAGCGTTCTTCTACTCCTTCATCTGTTGCCTCGAAGGCCAAGAAGAAACGTCATTCTAAACAAGGTGAACGCTCCCCTGAACCATGGATGGTAGCGTTCCAGTCTATCAATGAATCTCTGTCCTCCCTAGTTTGCTGCCTGAGTGACAAACCCGGACCGGCTTTCGCCGCTCAGGACCCGGACTTGTCGCTCACGGCTCCTGGAGCCTCAACCCACTCTGCAGTCACTGACGACTACTCGGAGCGCGGAACTCATCGAAGCTTGAGTCAAGTTGGCATTTCCCTCCCGGAACATTCTGTCATGTACGAGAGCACCCACAGGTCTGACCCTGGCATGACTGCACCTAACTCCGAGCAGCAGACACTATCGTCAGGAGAAGACGACACCGACTCGGTGAGCGACCTCACCCCCTCTGAGGGCTGGCTTTGTCTCCTTCAACGTGATATGATCCAGGTCCTCGGCCTTTTGGCTCCCTCTCCCCCTGAAAGGAACACCGGTCACGCCTCCTTCAAATGCCACGCAACCATACTGGAATCCTTGGGTCCAACTTCCCCAGAGATCCCGCTTGACCGTTCATGCATCGAGATTTTCGATTCAATCAGCAAGGCAGCACGCTGACACCCTTATCATCCTAAGGCCCTGGCTTACTATCACTTCCCGACCGAGGACCATGATAACATCCTATCAGTACTGGAGATTCCTGACGCAGCTAGGGACAAAATCACCGGTGACTTGGGCAAACCTCCCCTGAAGTCGATCTTCCACGATGGTGACAAATCTCGCCTCGAGACAGCCCTGGTTAAACTTGACAAGGCTTCTCGTCTCGATCTACACTGTTCGGCCTTCCTCCTTCACCTCTCGGAATACCTTGCATGTGCCTGCGACGAGAACTCGCTAGTGGCCCTGGCGCTTCGGGGCCTTGATGAGTGCCTGGCCCTCACCTTCGAGCAGTTCACCTGGATTTCCTGCCTGGCTTCCTCTACCCACCTGCAGAGCCAATGCCTTAGAGGTGATGCATATTTTTCATGAAGGCGTAAAATCTAGACTTCAAGATCTTCCACTTTCTGGCAAAGATCTCTTCGCTGGCAAGTTTTTGGAATCTCTCGAGGCTGAAGCCAAGCATATCAACACCACCAAGAAGCTATTCTTCCGGGAACCAATGACTCCAGCTTTGCGGCAAACTCAGCCGCGTCAGTTTCAGAATTCGAAGCCACTGCCACCCAGGACACACTCTTTTCGTCCTCCGCTCCCGCAACCAACCCAGTGTCGAGCCTCAACCTGCGCTTTGACCAAGCCCAGCCGGCCACGGTCGAGCCGAGGATCTTCGTTGCATGCTCCCCATTTCTTCACGGGTCATCGCTGATGACTGCGCCATTCCACGTTTCACGACTGCTGATCTCGAACCCGTTAGTGGCCGTCTACAAAAGTTCACAGGGTTCTGGTGAGAGATCACCTCGGACGAATGGGTCCTGGCAACTATCGCTCATGGCTACTCCCTCAAGTTCACAAGAACCCCTCTGTCCGAGGCAATGTTACGTTCGACCCCAGTGCCACGCAAGAGATACAAACACCTGGCCCTGGAGGCCAAACTTCACTCCCTGCTCCAGAAACATGCTGTCAGTTACGTCTATCCCGACTGCGTGACAGACAGTTTTCTGTCCATCTTCTTTCTTATCCCCAAGGGGACCGACCAATAATCAATCTAAAGCCAATCAACAAGTACATCCGGCCCAAGAAATTCAGGATGGAAACCATACTGACAGTAATACGCTCCATCCCGTCCTGGGCTTCAACAATCGACCTCCAGGACGCATATCTTCACATTCCTATCCACAAGACCGATCGCAAGTTTCTCAGCTTCATGTACAAGAGTCAAGTCTACGAATTTCGGGCCCTACCATTCTGTCTTTTGACACCCCCAGGGTCTTCAACCAGGTTGCAAAGACTGTCGCCGCCCATCTACGCCAGCTGGACGTTCTGATCTTCCAGTACCTGGACGACTGGCTAATCGTAAGTCGTACCTTAGAGGAGGCAATAGCACTGACTCGTCTAACATACGACCTTCTTCTCACCTGGGCTTCATCATCAATCGAGAAAAGTCAAAACTGTCTCCATCTCAGTCCCCGACTTACCTTGGAGCAGAACTCTATCTCTACAGGGGTATTATCACCCCGATGGCCGATCGCATCACCATTCTCCGACAGTGTGTATCCCTTTTTCACTCAACCCAGTCTCCTCCAGCCCTCACGTGGCTTCGTCTCCTCGAGCTGATGGTGAGTATGGTCGACCTGATACCATGGTGCAGGCTTCTCATGAGACCCCTTCAACTTCACCTGCTCTCCTGTTACCGATCCAAACGGGATCCAATTAGCCATGTGGTTCCCGTATCAGATGATGTTCGACATACCGGTCTACCATTCCTGCAGCCAAAACCGGCCGTAGTAATAACAACTGACACATCATCTCACAGCTGGGGGCCTCCCTCCCTCCTCACCAGATCTCGGAACCTGGCCCCCTGCCTTCCAGGCGAATCATATCAGCATCTTGGGACTTCAGGCGATATTCCATGCTCTGCAACTCATTCTACCGTATGTCAAAGAAAAGAATGTCCTGGTTCGCTCGGACAATTCTACCGCCGTGGCGTATATCAATCACCAGGGCGGCAGTCGATCCCCCAAGTTGTGCGTCCTCACCTGGGAGATCCTGCAGTGGACAAGGGAACATGCAGTAAACCTGCAAGCATTCCATGTTGCTGGCCCCGACAACGCGATAGCGAACGCTCTCTCCCGCGGCAAAATACTCCTGACAGTGGACTCTCCATTCAGAGGTCGTCAAGATCCTCTTCACGATACCAGAGATGCCTCACATCGATCTCTTCACCTCTCCCACCAACACCCAACTTCCAACTTTCTGCACGAGATCTCCGCACCCCCAAGCCTGGGCCACGGACTCCCTGCAGATCGACTGGTCGGGCATTCTAGGATATGCCTTTCCACCCATCTCGCTGATCCCAACGGTACTCTCCAAAATCGAGCACGAACACTGTCGGATACTCCTAGTTGCCCTGTTCTGGCCTTGCCAGCCCTGGTTCCCCACACTGTCAAGGCTCCTGGTTCGTCGACCGCTGGTTCTTCCCGACAGACCAGACATCCTTCACCAGCCAAACTCCGGCATCCTACATCCAACTCCAAGGGATCTACACTTAACCTGTTGGACCACGGACCATTTACCCAGGGATGTGCAGCCGTAAGGGGCCCCAGTGCAAACAGATGTGCTACCTTGGTTCCATGCATATTACAGATTGTTATTACCCCCGTAGGCACTCTCGACTTTCTCGAAAAAACTTGCGACCACATGACACGCGTTGCAGCATGTACAGTGCAGCCATGGTTATGCCAAGAGGACGTGGTGCTTAAATCTATTCCTTTTGATGACTAAATCTTCATTTATCAATTTCAAGGAGAAACGAAGTTTTAATGAGGCAAAATTCCCCAATTTTGTGGTACACTTTTCTCAGAATGTATAAGATGAAATATCTTGAGCAGCATATTTTCAGAAAGGGTGCACCCTGACTTAAAATATTACAAAAGAAAGTGGTAGACGGGAATATATGTTTTATTATTAGAGAAAGTGTTACATAATCCAACTTAATTTCTGCTTTGCTGGCCGTAACACGCACTGAACCATCTCTGAGCTTAAGTTGCACATCCCTGGGTAAATGGTCCGTGGTTGGACATTGTCGAATGATCCTTCCACTCGGCGGGACTTTCTTGCCACGCTGCAACCATGGCCGCACAGGGAAGACGTCTATCCACCCGCAAAATTTACGACAGCAGAATTCGGCATTTCGCTAGCTGGTGCAAAGAGCAGGTTTTAGCTCCAACCGATGCTCCTCTGAATGCTGTCGCCGATTTCCAGCTGCACTTACTCAAGTCAGGACTCCAAGTCTCTACGATTCATAACTATTGGTCAGCCGTGGCGGCTATCTATGTCGGTTTTGAGGATGGCTCTGACATCTCCAACAACCTAGTTTGGGTAGTTAATGTGGGGGAGGAATTTACCTATTCTATCTTGAACAGTAATTGCACACTATATATTTGGAACCAAAAAGGAGAAGGTATTCACTATGGTTGATCCTGTGTGGACTTAAACAGGGCATACCTTCCAACATACCCTTGCATGATAGAGGGACACTCAAAAAAGCTGCTACATATTCACTGTTAAGCCGAACAAGGATTGCCAAAAGGGTATATGAAAAAAAAGACGGACCATCACCTGAAGAGAGCTCTGAACATGGCCAGATTCAGCAGGCACTGCTGGAGCTGATCGTTGGCGCCAAGTTTGTACAGTAACCATGGCAACTCGTTCAAGATTCTGTCAGGTATCTGGATGTGGTATCGTGGGCTCAAGGCCTGTTTATTCAAAATGGAAGAAAATGAATGAGTAGAGATGATTCTTTTCTTTAACCAACGAAAAATCCCTTTTAAGATGATTTTTGACAACTGATTTGGTGAAGTTCTTCAACTCTCTGAATTTGGAATAACCCTTGGAAAAAAGGTGCCCTTGATTGCTTACTGAGAGTAAAAAATTTACCCTTGTGCAATACAAAATTGGGGAATTTCGTACCTTAAATGCATCCAAGAAATGGTCAGCCACAAGCCTACTAAACCGTTTTTCTTGCTCGCAATCAGTGCAGAAATGCTGTCTCACTGCCTCAGCTAATTCACTGTAAGCTAACCTGCAAATAAGTATTAAAAAAATGAAATGCAAAAAAAACAAAAAACAAAAAACCAAACCCCCCAAAATTCCTGGGATTTCCTGAAATCAACAGGAGGACTAATCTCACTGGTATTTGACTGTTGGCTAGTATTGAATACTGACACAAAAATACTCACACGTACAAACCCGATCTCTCAATCACAAATTCGTTCATAGCAAAATACAGTGTCGACCACACTTGATCAGACACTCCCAAAATTCTCTTGATCTCTCCTTCCGACAAGCCACGCCTGGCAACAAGAAGGCAACACATCACCTGATAGGAAAACATGAATCAGTTAACATATTGGTTTTCAACCCAAGCAAACAAAAACAAAACAGTTTTTTATGTCTTAAATACATTTGTTTAAAATTAACTTTAACTTACAGAAACAGAACTGTTTTTTTCTAAAACCCAACACTTTATCAAAGCCATTTGATAATGCTTCTATGTATGCATTGGAACTGTCAGAGTATGTGCCAGCATAACTGTGTTCCTATCTCTTTGTGAGTTGTATGGTTTTGCGAAGAAAATGTTATAAAATAACTATGTGAATCATGAAGAAGATAAATGTTTATGGTGGTTTCATAAACTTTGTGACTTTAAACCAACCCTCCATGCAGATCTTCAAGTGCTTTGTGGTTGTGGCTTGCACTTAGGCAGGTGTACGGAATATGCCTGAAGCTGTCATAGGCATGTTATTCCTTGCCACAGCCATGACTTTAAGATTGGAGCTGACTAACTGATGGAATTTGTATGATTAGATACAAATTATCACACTATCCTCCGTGTGATCTAAATTTTTATTATTGCAACTCTCGCATCACACTGATAATATAGTGTTAGTATATATGTTGGTTTAAGGGCAAAATCAAGCATAAAGTTAACATTTCTAGATGCAAAGCCAAATTAATATCATTAAATTTTTACAAGTTTGTTTTCTTCAGAAAAGGAATCAAGAAAAGATGAAGCCATTTTGAAAAGTATTTAAAAAAAAAACATGTCCAAAGTGAAATTGCACACCTCCTTCACAAGGTCTTGCTTCTCCGCAGCATTATAATCCTTCTCCAGCCGTTTCAAAAACTTAACAAACAGATCTTTGACGCTACGATAAGCATGCAGGGAAGAAGATGAGTTTGCATTAACATAAAGCATGGACTGGCATATTTGTGCGAACACAAACGGAAAAAGGCAAAATGGGGCTATGCACGACATGCTGTATAGATTTATTACAAATGCTACCCCAGATACGGTATATGCAGGTTTATCGCGGTGCATGCCGATGTATAACTTTTATTTCATTAGGCACACTCCCCAACAATGTGCTTCTAAGAAAATACCCCCCCTCAATTTTTAAGCAGGGAGGACAGGGGAAGGGAAAAAGAGAGACTCTCTGTATTTTCATGAAGTTTCCTCTATGAGGGCTGAAATGCAGCTACATTATGTATGTACGTACATACGGCTCTTTGAACATAAAACGCTTCACGAAACGGACAAACATTAGGAGCAGAATAAAGGAAGATGTAGAATGAGGAATTTTGGAGGAAGAGGTGGGTTTTGAGCCTGTTTCTGGAAGTCTGACTGACTGGACATGCAATCCAATTTCATGCTTAAGGGACCTACAAATTGCTTTGTCAACTATGAGTTTTTCATTTATTTATGGCAAGATGTGTCTGGTTTTGCACCATATTTCTGGAATTAGCTTTTAACTGTTACAGTTTTCCTTAAGGCCAACAGCAGGTCTGTACACTTGTCAGTGCTTCAGTTATGGCACAGAATCTTCACAGAGGGTTTTCAACTGCAAGTTGGCTCAAAACCACAATTTTTTCCATACTCGCTTCTCCCAGCACAGTTGCAGTGTACTTGTTGAATGTGTTTCACTGCACCACGAACGTTTAAAATGAATTCACTCCATCATAAATGTTCTGCGTTACTTTCATCATGATTGGCTGGATTAGGCTTTGAAGAATTCACCTACCTCTTGGCAGCAAGGAGAGAGTCAATATAGTCATCAAGCTCAAAGAAACTGCCAAAACTGCACAGCTCCTGAGAATGATAAAAGGTGTCATTGAGGTAAAGAACTGTGTAGCTACCTCCATTTTAAAACTGAAACTGATAATCAGTATGTCAAGTATAAGGACTAAATATCAAAGATGCATTCTCGAAAAATTGTCCTGTCAGTCAAAATCAGTCAAAGGACCCCTATTTGTGTGTGTACTGTGGCAATTCAAGTGGAAGGACTTTTTGACTGTCTGTGACTGTTACAGCAAAAGGCAGGTTCATCTGACGTCCTCAGGAAATCTTATAAGGAACCTTCCTGAATCCCCCCAAATCCTCTACTGTGCAGGAGATACAGCAGATGCAATCACTGATTCACCTTCAGCAGAATCATGAGATAGAGTGGGTTCTCTGTCAGCTTGCAGCTGATGACCCGCTCATGCTGCTTGGATGACAGCTCCTTGCCTCTCACAATCAACATTGCCTTGGTGATCTCTGACTGAAGATCTTCACTCAGCGGAACCATCTCCAGCTGGTTGAACCCTCTCTGCTCGACCAGCTCCTGGATGTTGGCAGTGTCCGAAGAGACAGTGGACAGGATGAGGTGAGCAGCATCAGGCAGCAACTTGGGCAGCCAGTAAAGCGTCTGAAAATATCGAAATGATCCAGGCTTTGATGGATACTGATAAGACTGATACCAACAAAAATGGTAGTCATCTACATGTGCACAAACATGTAGCTCCACTCTGAGGGTTTATTTAAACAAAACTTTTACAAGCATCAGTACAAACTCTTTGAAAGGGAAGCATGCTCTGATTGATGCAACTACAAGGTGTTAATCTACTTAGGCTACATAACAAAAAGAAAACACAGAACAGTTGGGCAGAGGAGTATCGAGTACTTTGCAGAGAAATCCCCTGAGGAAAAGGCTTTCCTGTTTTAAGAGACATTATGGCTCTGGAGTTGACCACATGCCAAGGAAAAGAAGATCTACATCTTCACCTTCATGGTTTTTCCAGCTTTCTCTATCATGTCAAGTGCATCAACGACGAACACCACCCTCATGTTTCGCTTGGTTGCCTTGGAAACCAAGACGTTTAATGTTTGCCGAAGGTCGCGGATTTCTTCCTTTTTTAAAGCTGCATACACCCTCCCTGATATGGGGACATCATCGAAATCAAAGAGTGCGTCTTCAACATCATTGCATAACCTCTGTAGTAAGTTTTTCACGCCTGTAACAAAAAGAAGCTTTGAAAGTTGAAAATGTCATTCAGCACAAACGAAGAAATTTAATCCTAATGAACCTTGTGGAGGTTTTTTCAGGCAAAATAAAAAGACACAAACACTCCAACTACTGACTCAAATTATTACAATTGTAAGACACCGTTAGAATGCACTAGTAGTACATTCAATACTGTGTTAGGTTAACCCTAAAAGAGCTGGGGGGGAGAATCTGCCCCTCCCCACTGTCATTTGGTATGATCTCGTCACGGCGCTTGTTTTAAACATGATGAGCCTGCAGGAACGTTTGGGCTGATGTCTTGCAAACATTTCATACCAATTTTTGATATGAAAATAGAACACACTGTTCTCAAGAAATACCCATTTTTCCAAAACAGATGGCTACTTATTCTAGAAAGTGTAAACTGTGAATGACCATAACAAATCTTCTGTCACAATGAATTGAAACTTTGTAGATAAACACAGAATGGGTGTCTCTATATGCATGCCAAGTTTCAAAGAGATTGATATGTGGATTGGCAAGTTCTTGAGTGAAATTCAGGAAGAATTCATCCCCTCTTCCCAGTTGTAAGAAGATCAGAAACAAACACAAAACAAAAGTAACAGATCCCTTTTTATTGGTATCATATTCCTCTTTTCAAAATTGCATAACACTGGCAATAATTTATAACAGGCTTCTTTTTATGTTGATTTTTGGGAAGGCTCACTTGTGCTGCTGCTGGAGCATCCAACCACGTGATATGCGACGACATCCTCTGGGAAACGTTCCTGGTGTCTGATGAGCCAGTTACCCAGCAAGCAGGTCTTTCCACTCCCTGTTCAGAATGCAGACAGAAATACTGCCCCCAATTATCGTATTGCCTCAACAGGACTCTGTACCAGTATGTGGCATCAGATTTTGCTTACATGTTTGCTTTCCTATGGTGCTCGGTTGACTGTGAGCCCCCTCAGGCTCCATAAGGAATGTATATATCATCAGTACAACGGCTTTGGGCTGTATGGCCCCCATGCAGGAACATCTGATGGTGACACGTATTCACTCACTGAAAATGTAGCATGTGTGGAACACCATATATACACCTGGGTTTGTGCGCAGTACGACTTCATTCAGCTGGCTGTTAGTTGGCAGTTTCCTTGAGTTCTCTTCTTTGTTTTTGCCATGGATGAAGCTACCTAGATATTACCTCTAAAACTGGTTTTTAGAGAGGGTTGCCTTCAGTGGGCCTGGCTTAGTCTACGTCCATCTACACTCTATAAACCTTTTTGTTTTCTCCTCAGGCCTACACAAAAAACAAATTCATCGGTTGTGTACATACATATAATTTTGTTTAATCAATTGTGAGACTGGTATTCTGTAACATGCTCACCTGGGTCGCCAATGATCAGTAAATGTTTGTCTATGTAGCCACTTCTGCCTTTCAAGACGTGGTTGTCCACTGTCTCCAGGTACTTCTCCCCTCCGATGTACATGCCCCCCATTCCCAGCTTCTGAAGGAGAAAGGCATGGTGCTCCAGCCGCTCTGCCTCCAGTCTGGAGAGGGCTTTCTGAGGTTTCAGGAACGTCTCCAAGAAGCTGTGGACCGTTTCGAACATCATTCGGGCGCCCTCGCTTGGTGTGGCATAATTAGGATGAATGGTAAGGCACTGCCGACATATATGACATGAATTGAGAATAGATTTAGTGGAAGCTTCAGTTAATAGCTGACTAAATGCTGAAAGTCTGAAGGAAGTAATGAAGGAGGAACTGACCTTTCACAATGGAACAATGTCAACGTACAATTTAACACCACCTGATCATATCATCCAGCATTCAACCGAAGAATGTTGTTTGCAAAGTCTAACCCCTTTTAACAAGAAAACAAATTTGCTTTTGAATTCAACACTGATTGTTACACAAGCGAATTACATGTAGCTAGGACAAATCAGAACGCCACAAGGTTGAATTACACTGCTACATATATTAAATCAATTGATGACTTTTTGAAATTGAAATGGAATTGAGTTTGAAGTTACTCTGGGATGAAATCAGAATATTATTGTAGGGAACATGTGAAACACTGGTGTTAAAATAACTGGGAAAGCTTTATATGAAATGTATGGTTAGAGCTCTCTGGTGACCTCGGGACATTTACTTTGTCTTCTGTGGCCATGACCCTACGCTTCAGGTCATCCAAATGCTGGGCAGCATTAGGGCCGTCGGTGGTTGGGCGAAACTTGCGAGCACTTCCCTCGTCTCCAGCTGCCTCATATTCCTTCAGTTTCTGATCATCATACGCCTGCTCAGATTGCAATGCAATTAACAAATATTTTGTAATCAGATGATAAAAGCTGATTCAGAGAATAATACTAAAAACAATTCCACTTCTCCTCTGTCCTATTTCCAATTCAAATTGCATCAGCTTTAGTCTTGATCACACCTCAGTCAGCTATTTTGGTCTTGTTTTCTGAAAAACAAAAGGCAGTGTATTTCTTGTCTGTATACACAAATCCTTTTATGAATAGCCTGCCCTGTGGTTAATCCTGGATATTTCAAAAGGGGATCCCTAAGGCATTGTATTCCAGATTTTTCAAGGTGGGAGGGTGGCTGAGAAGCTGAAGAGGAAAAATATAGGAATCTGCAATTGCTGTGTGACGTAAAGTCGGGAAAGAATTTTTTTTCAGGAATAGAAAATAATTTTCATCAGTCAAATGGGAGCAAGGCGGTTGGCCACCAAAACCACAAAATCTAAACCTACCCTTGAACCTACTCAATTTTGCTTGCAATACGTGTACACAGAATATAAAATAAACATTCACTGCAAACATCTACCCCACCTGTAAAAGCATTTTAAATCTAAAGAACGGTGATGAATACAGTATTATCTTCAGTCAATTGAAGCGATTGTCTAAAATTTAAGGACCTTATCTCGGAAGAAAAAACTTGCTGCCCGGGCGCCAGGTTTGTTGAGGTGTCCGTGAAGGAACTCCAGCTCTGTGACCGAGCGATCTCGGAAGTTGTCAATGAAAGGAAATCGAGAAACAGCATAGTCAAACGTCTTCTGCAACATCTCATCTTTGCTTCCGTGCCAACCGTACCTCTGACAACAACAATAACACAAAACAAATCTACACTATAAATACTTTCTGATGTAAGCAGACTTTCCTTTTCTGGACCTAAACCATGACAAAAAGCCAAACGTTTCAAATATTGACTCATTAGACTGACTTGAACAGTATTTGTGCAATATTTCAACCCGCAACCAAACATTCTTCAACAATTTGGAGTTTGGCCATGGAGTGATACTTGCTACCACAAAAGGTCATGCACAGCGGCTGAGTTCAAGCTCAAACAGTCTTTGTGTGTTATGTACAAAACAAATGAAGGTTAGTCAGGGTGCACAAGTTGTTAAGAAACATGGATAAATAATCAGTTCAGGAAACGAACATAAAGAGCACAGATTTTGAGAACTAACACACAGCAAAACTGTGCCTAAATAAGTCACTTTCACAAGTGTTCAAAAGCAACAGACAGTGAACTCCTGTGACACTTGTGCCCCTCATGTGCGGACCATGTGGGTTCAGACGTCCTTTTCCAGGCTAACTCATGAATGTACGTGTAATTGTTACACTTGAAGAGCCGTGCCACAGTGATTGCTGTTGATGATAAATACCTGGCCAAAAAAGCCAACAATCATGTCGGAACGGTCCAACTCTCGAAGGCAAATCTCTATGGTCAGTGCTTGCTTTGAGTGATCCGATGTGATGCCCCATCTCATGTCAACTGGAGCATACTCATAGCCAGCCTGTGGGATTAATAAATAATATCTTGCTCTTCAGATTCCATCTGTGCTTTATTTACCGCTACTGTTTTATCAAGACCTTTTTAAAACCGTGATTAGAGATCTGTACATGAACAAACTCAGAATTCAGAAAAAAGGGGGACACCAATAATCTCTTGCAAGACAAATACCACCTGCCACGTCACTACATTTGAACAATCTAAATGAAAGCAAATCCTGAAAAGTGACCAAAATATAAACGAACAGGTATCCCTGCTGTTACAGACTATGAAATGGTACATCACGGGATGTAATGTTTCTTAAATTAATTCAATACGATTCCATGTTCATTTCTAGAAACATTTTTGGAGACTGTCAAATTCTCAAATGTTCTCACATGGGGCTCACTCAACTGGGAAGTTCTATCACACAGACGCTCATTTGAGTGTTTGTGGATTCAAATGTAAGTCTGGCTTGAGAGTAAAAGTGTCTCCTCACCTTCTGACACATGTGAGCAAGCTGTGGCCAGTATTTCTTGGTCAGCAGCTCCCTTTCTTCTTCCAGACCGCCAAACGGGGAGCTCCAGAAAATCCGGGCAATACGCCGCTGCTGCACATTGTGGGACACTTTGGCCATGTTGGGATGCCTAAAAGAGACTGTAATTTCAGGTGTCACATGGGCTGATGGCCTGTAAATTTCGATTTCTTTTCAAATTATGAAACATGGCTCTCTATTTTATTTGTTCTTGTTGAAGAAATGCAGAAAAAGGCATGGAAATTTAACTCCCAAATTAGAAGTTTTCTTTATCAAATGACCTTAAAAGTCCACTAAGCTTTGTCCTTAGGGAAAATTTTAAAATATTTAGAGGTAACTTTAGATTAAAATTTTATAATCAACACTTGTTGAAGTTTCCTGTTAGATAAAAGAAATAACAAATAAAAAAAATTAAACCCAAATATAAATCAAACAACCTTGCCCCAAAATCATTTTCAAAAAGTGACATATATTTTCTCTAAATTTTTTATTAGATATGTTTTTCCAAGCTCGTTTTTACAAGATGCAGTTTACAGTATTTTTAAAAGATCTTTTTCATGAACAAAAATTTTCAAGATGTAACAAAAATGTTTCATGAGATTATTTTCTTCAAGTTCAATTAAACAAGAAATAAATTCTTTCAAGATCCATTTTACAATGCACATGGATCTGTCTGGTAAGTTTACACAGCAATACTCCACTATAAGCAGAAAAGTAAATGTTCAATTGTTTTTAAGAAGTAACAAATCACCCTTGAATGTTTCTCTTAAAAGGGCACAAAGGAAAGGCTGTCAAATAAACATGATTGGTCCAAGTGTGATGAAAGAGCTTCAACCCTTCATTCTGATTGGCCAGTACTAGTACTAATAGTTCACTGTCATGGTGCATGATTTGTGGATTCTGCCATCAGCCTCTGTTTTTTTTTTCAAATTCACGGTTGTAAAAGACTTTCCAAAAGGGAAATAGGCCTAGGCCTAAAGTTGGAGATTTCATGCTGAATTGACGGATTCAAGTTGCGCAGAGTGTTCGGGCGATCGTGCAGGTCGGCCGATCGCGCAAACACTGATGATCAGGATGTCGGGCCTAACGTTAGAATTTAGGGCTTTATCAATCATGCAAATCACATTATTACCTGATGAAGGTAGCTGAAATTTCGCTCACGCGTTCTTAATGTCAGAAATTACCGATATTCTTAGTTTAGAATAAGTAATTTAGTCTTTCCGCGACGTGTTTGAAATTTTTAGAAACATGGAGGTAACTGAATGATTTCCATCTGATGCATGAGAGATGAGTAGGCTGGTTCCTTACCAGTCTTTACAATTTATATGTACATGTAGATCGATGATTCGGTGTCTTTTGGTCTAGGAACCAGACCAAAGGTTGCGATGGACTTCGCGCTTGCGCTTACGCTCTCCGCTCTATCTTATTGAAGATTGCCATGACAACGTTGATTGCAGTCCATCCAGTGAGACGTCACTTTATAGTAAACCGTACATGGAGTTACACCATTTGTGTCTTCATGAAGAAATTGTCGTGCTTGCACAGGCTAGTCCTACCCATGACTGCTTGTTGCAACCGGTGCATCACCATGTAGGCCCGTGCAATTTTAGATTGGCCATAAGCTTCTTCGTCGTGTCATGACCAAAGTGCAAAAATAAACAGAAAACTAGAGGAATGTGGTTGTAATTATACAACCACAGAGCTGCTTCGGAGTCAGAGCCTTTTCTAAGCATCATTTGTATATTTTTTGAGCTATTTAATTCCGAGAAAAAAAAGTCTTTTAGAAAGGGTGATTCCCACAGTCCCAGCCATCGGGCCAGTCCTTGCTTTTTTCTCGGACCGCCGAAGCTGGAACGAGCACGAACTGCGCGCGGCACAGGGCACTTCGTCACTTGTGCCCTGGCCCAGCGTGGTAACGGCCGCAAGTGTGTGTACACATGTGTAGTACATGTACATGTATGCACCCGCAAATTGAAGGCAAAGGTCACAAATTACATATCAAACGATCTTATTACTAGTATATAGCACTATTACTTCATACTTAATTGGCTCCTAAATACAGATCGTGCTAATCTGCACATATATCTGAAATTGGTGAATTGAAATTTACGGTTTTTCTGCAAAATTTGGAAGTAATTGGACTTGATTAAGTTTCAGAAATTATGCCAAGAAGATAGTAGTACGTATGCATGCAAATGCGTATACATGTAAATCTAGAGAAACTAATAAAAAAAATCAACGAATGAGGTCATGATGACGTCACTTCAAAATGCAGTCAGGGATTGACTGTTAACGTTCTGAGTGAACTTCACAAGGATCAGACATTGCCTAATATGTAGAATTAAAAATCGTACATTTTGGTGACGTCATATCATGAGTCACAAGATTTTCCAACAAATAGACATAGTGGAGGTCTAGCAAAAAGAAATTTAAAAAAAAGTTTGGGTCAGGAGATATGTTAAAAAGAATATCAAAATGACAAAAATTTAAAAATCGTCAAAAAATCAGGTGGGGACGTCAACATGACGTCACCCAAATTTTCACACATAACACATTTGGGTTTGTTTTTGTGCAAAATTTCCAAACACTGGGACAAATGGTGTTAGAGATAAAAGCCCGAAAAGCCCGAATTCAACTTTGTGGGTTTATCACATGACGAATATAAAGTCCCAGAGTTTAATGGCGGAAGGATTACTGTCGTGAAACGAAAAAAAAAAAGAAAAACCGATTATTGTTAACAAAAATTGGATTTTTTCTTAATCATGAAGTCACTATTCTGTGGGATATTTCAAATTTTTCAATCTGGTTTCATGAACTAAAGCATGTCTCTCTTAATCCTATTAACACCAACTTGTGTACTTTGGAGAAGTTTTTAACGCCGAAAAATCCGGTCTTCTGACGCGGGTCACGTTCGCATTGACGTGTATAAATGGGTATTTCGCAATCACGCATTTTTCGCCCTTTTAACCCCAAAGATTTTCTCCAAAAATCGCTGCAGACCGTCTGTAACACTGCTTATTGTTAGAACTGTAGAAAAAGAATGGCATTTTGAGGGGTTTATGTAGCTGTCGCTTGAGAAGTGTCCTATACTTCACCATTGCGAACCACAGAGTGAAAACAATAGCTCAGTGCTTTGGCAGTGTAGCCGAAGCAGCTAAAAATGCAACCGTGGTAAGTACTGTGCCTTCAATAAGAAAACGAAAAACTTTTTGAAATGTTGGACTCGTCAAAAATGTACATAACAGCGACGATACGCAGGATTACTTTTATGGACAGAGGGAATAGTGGGTAAAAACGATGATTGTGACCAAGCAGCCACAAACTGTTTCTTATCATGCCTCAAACATTAACACACACCTCGAAAACAATCATAGTGGACTGTTGCTGATTGGTTGACTTTAAATGAATTCCACTGAGAAAGCCAATCTCTGATTGGACCAAAAGTTCATTTATCGCAAGAGTTGGTTTTCCTCGTGCATGTTAGCGTGCAATCTGCATGGTGAACATACTTGTTTTCCTTTGGAAACTCACGTAAAGCTGCATTTCCTCCAAAATTGTCACTTGAAATTCTGAAAGAAAATGAGGTGCCAGCTAATGTCATTAAGCAGTTAATAACCTCTCCGATGCTGTTTCAAATCATGTTGTAAAAAGTTCGCTGACAACGGATGTCAAGCTTATCCCTCTGTAATTTTAACAGTTGCTTGAGCCAGCATGCTTTAGTGTAGGGACAACAGTTGGGGACATACCAGTGCTCAGGTCGCTGATTATTGGAAAGTGCGGCATAACAAAAACGAGGGATGATCATTTATCATTGATATAACAGTACTTAATGACTCTTGCTGGAATATTGTCATCTCTACAGCGCACTTCATTTTTTTTAAAGCTGAGAAATAGCGTTTGAAGTTCTTCCTCCTCAAAGCTATCTGTTCTCATTGAGAGCTCTGGGAGGATTTAATCTGTCTCTTGATCTTCATCTCTAACCAGGGATGGGTTTCCTTACAGAGCTTCGAGAGCCTTGTGGCTGTTGTCAAGCCCTTTTTGTTGGAAATGGCCATTACTTCTTTACTTGTTTTCTGCCAGTGATGTTATTTATGGCTTTCCACGCTGGTGAGATGTTCTTTACCTTTTTCCTTCATTTCCTTTATTTGTCTGTTGAGGAAATCTTGGTTTGCTTTCAAGATAAGCGTCGTCCAAATTCGGTTTTTGCAGATTGAAGTTTCTCTCTGGGGTTTGTGGATTATTAACCACATTAGTGATTTCTGATACTTTCTGAACACGATTCTTGCTGTAGTTATACTCTTTTGTCGTTACTTGCACTTTCTCTATAACTTCTGCAGCTTCATTTGCTTCACATTTGCACTGCGCAGTGATGCCATTGTGGTCGCTCTCATTTTCCAGGCTGTTATTTCGGTTTCTGCTGTCTCTTTCTTTGTTTAGCTCGAAGACGACGATTGACAGTTGGAACCACAGCCTGATGATCTGAACCAAGTGATGATTGTTAATTGCCCCTCAGGCCAGTTATAGGGGGCGCTTTAAGCCACTTCACACAGACGCAGAAACAGGCAATACGTGACCATCAATTGGACTATCAACATTTATTTGTCTCAATCATGTCCGGGTGACTACCTGTTTATTCTCTGGTGACTAAAAAAAAAATAAAATAAAGGAAAATACAAACTGGTTCGAATCAGCAAAGGTTTTATGTACGTTGTCACAGTTTCGGAAAATCTAAACTTAAACAATTATACAGCCATAATCAAGTTTACCAACAATTAAAGTACGGTACGTTCAACAAAAGATTTGAAAATTTGTCGAGAAATACCACTATTAATTAGAGAAGAATATTTATCGGGATGCTCACGTGATGTGACTGCTCTACGCCTCAAACTCTGACGTTCGGGCCCTTTCCTGACTTTGCTGTCTGCAACAGCTACGACAGCTGACCGCAATAGTTTCTTTTGGCACTCGGGCCCAAATAGGGCAAATCTGGGTCGAGATTTTGGTCAGTTTTCTGGCGCCATGTGCACGCCGCATCACCAACCTATCGTATATACCCTGCGGGTTTTTGCGGGCGAAAAAGGGTGCATTAACATGAGAAGTGATCTAACAATGATAGACTATTATTTGTAAGCATCCATCCATTAGAGAATGTAGTCTAACTGTGATTTGGTCCCATTCCTAGAATACAAATGTGTCATCTTTTCATGGCTCTTCTTGAAGGAGGTATTTCCAAGAAAAACATCTGTTGCCTCACACAAATTAATTTGTTTCCGTGTGTTGGTGGTGCCACTGGTTCTGCCACAGGGTGTGTGTAATGCGTCTAGTGCAGTAGTGTAGTTGTAGTTATCATTGCACACCGTGCTCTCTGCCGTCGGCTACTGCTGCTGGCTGGCCCGGTTTCGGGGCGAAAATTGGGAGCTGAGTGCGTAAGTCTCCCCTGCCAGTACATAGCCTCTCCACTTCAAAGACTGCTGCAGTGCCTCCTCGCAGCAACACACGGTAACTGGGCATCTTGCGACCCCAACCTAAACCTGCAGTGGATCTCGGAGCTGCAGTGTGCAGGCCCACCGGTGTGCGGACACACCCTGGCACCATGTCAGCCACTGCCCCAGCGATGGGTTAAATAGCCCTTACTATGGCCTAGCTTGAGTTTCCGAGCTGTTCACCGGTGGAGCAGCCAACTGCAAGTGATAACTGCAGCAAGCCAAGATAATGTCCGGTTGCAGGCACCTTCGGCATCATCTTGTGAGACTACGCTGCCTCTTCAGGCCCGCACAGCTAACCTCCCATAGTGGAGGAGGGGCCTAAAAATGTGGCCGAAACATTGCCCGCTCCTCTAACCCAAACAGGATACGGCACCTGGAAGGGCATACCACTCCTGAGGTCGAAATACAAGAAGAATTATAAAAAAAAACACTGAAAGTAACATTCAAGAATGTCAGGACCTTCCTCGATTGTGACCTCAACACCAACAACAAACACCGACAGATCATGACGAAGGACGGCCCCCGTGGCGACGGAGCTGTGGCATCGGTATGGCGTGGACATCGTGGTCCTAAGCGAGACTCGCATTTCTGACAACGGCTTGCTGACTGAGGAGGGAGAGCAATTCACCTTCTGGAGCGGCCGTCGTGCTGGCGACTGTGCATGCACAGCGCGGGCTTTGCTGTCAACAACAGGCTCGTCAACTGCCTTACTGAGACCCCTACCGCTACGAATAAGCGCTTGGTGATTCTGAGGCTGCCACTGGTGAAAGGACAGCATGCAACCTTCATCA